ATCCTCTCCCGACGTAAATTCAATTCCCTGCAAATTAATACAGCGTCCTCATCTACAGGATCCTCTATAAATGGACACGCCATTTTGGTCTCTGCGTGACAGAAACGTGTGCAATCTATGAATGTACTGAAAGATTAAATGAGGTAGGCCTATTTAAACACCTTTCACTTTAAAAAGGGGAAGGAGACCGGAGGAAACTCTGGGTTTCCCGAACAAAACCTGCTCCCAACCAGGTTAGGTTCACAGAGTAAGTTGCCATAGTAACTGACTCTGAGTTTAGATTACCTCTCTTTTTGAAACGGGTTTAACTTACCCCGCTTTCACGGGTTGAAGTTACCTCCGTTTCTGGAACCGAAAACTCAAGAGTTTTCCTCATTTCAGGGTTAACAAACTCTGAGTTTCAACAAAACCTCCTTCTTGAAACGGGCCCCAGGTGTCTTTAGGTTAGACCCAAAAATGTTGATGACAGATTATTTTACTTAGTTTTATCATAGTTAAGATTAAAAAGCTTTACAAAGGTTTTTATAATGAAAATCCTGTTAATTTGAGCAAAAAAAGAAATCAAAGGGATATTTTGGCACTCTGAAGCATTTCAAGACACCTTTGCTTTCCCTTTTTTGCATCTGCTTGCTGTCCACTTTAAAATTAGACTTTCTCATTTGTGAATGTGCCTCATTTTGAATGATTTTGCTAAATGGGGAATTCTTCACATATTACTTTGACCTCTAATTCTTCTCTCTCAGGTTCAGGAGAGGGCGTGAAAGAGAAGCTGGTTCCTCTCATTCAGGGCCCCTCTGACACCAAAGAGCTTCATTTGAGCCGCTGGCTTAATGAGAGCCGCAAGCCTGAATCTTTGCTGGCCCCTGACCTGCTGGTGTTTTCTCTGATGATCCCTCAGCAAGGAGACGATTGCAGGAACTCAGGTAGAAGCCACTGAAAAGCTCAGCTCTCTTCTTATATAGGTTTTTTTTTAAAACATTTTTTGAAGCTAATTTTCTGGTTTCGGTTCTGGTGTCTGGATTTGTGACAGGCAGTGGTATTCCATATTACTGCATTGTTGATGATCGTTATATTTTCCTTCCTCTCATTATGTCACACAGTGCCCCCTGTCAGTTATTTGTTTAGTAAAGTGTTTTCCACTCCAGTATTCTTGAGGCAGGACTGGCAACTCAGTATCTCATTACAGGCAACATGGATTCTCTAAACAGCAGTTAGTCTGTGTCAGCACTGGGCCAAGCTGGCTAACAGAAGCTAAGTCTGCACCATTGCCAGACTCCAATTTTTGATTGCATCTTTAGACCACAGATAGTATATTCTGGTGTTGGACCAAGAGTATGTGTGTGTTTGCATGTGAGCCTAGAGGGACAGAGTGGGATATTCAGTAACAAACTAAAAAGATATTCGGGCTCCAAGGCTCAAGGTGCTAGAGTATTTGATTTAGTGAGTTGGTTAATGACTACAACTTGGTACATCTCATATATGTACAGCAGTGGGTATCGTGTTCTCGAGGCTGAATTTGATCTTGTAGCGTGTTCTTCTGTGAATGAGACCATGAACATCAGTATGTCATCACTAACCTCTCCTCCCCACTTGTAACTGCAGCTAGTTCTCCCATCAGGCAGCTCTATTAGGCTCCAAGGGAAGACTGACACAGTCAGTCAGCTGTTTACATACACGGACGTTGAAGTAAAAACTGCTGTAGTTAAAACAAATTTTTTTTAATCACTCCACAGATGTCATGTTAATAAACTCTCATTTTTGGCAAGTTGGTTAATACATGTACTTTGCAACAGTTGTTTACAGATAGATTATTTAATTTATGATTTGCTATATCACAGTTCTAGTGGGTCAGAAATTTACACTCAGTAGACTGTGCCTTTAAACAGCTTGGAAAACTTCAGAAAATGATGCCATGGCTCTAGAAACTTCTGATAGGCTAATTGACATTATTTGAGTCAGTAAGAGGTGCAGCTGTGGATGCATTTTAAGGCCGGCCTTCAAACCCAATACCTCTTTGTTTGACCTCATGTGAAAATCAAAAGAAACCAGCCAAGACCTCAGGAAAAAACAATTGTGGACCTCCACAAGTCTAGTTCTTTCTTGGGAGCAATTTCCAAACATCTGAAGATTCTACATTCATCTGTACAAACAATACTACGCAAACACCATGGGACAACACAGCCATCATACCACTCAAAAAGGAGACACATTTTGTCTCCTAGAGATGAACCTACTTTTGTCCAAACAGTACAAATCAATCCCAGAACAGCAGCAAAGGACATTGTGAAGACACTGGAGGAAACAGGTACCACAATATCTATATCCACAGTAAAACCAGTCCTGTAGTGACATAACCTAAAAGGCTGCTCAGCAAGGAAGAAACCACTGCTCCAAGACCACAAAAGAAAGGCAAACTACGATTTGCAGCTGCACATGGGGACAAAGACCTTACTTTTTGGAGAAATGTCCTCTGGGCTGATGAGTCAGGTTACTAGTTATGGTAATTTGTAAATCCACAGCCTGTCAAACATCAGAAGGAGAAGAAAATGTTTAACATTTTCTGCTGCCTTCAGTGTCCATCAGTGGTGAGCTTTAAAAACAATTTGGGGTTTTTAATTTTTATATCCATGTTGACATTTTTATGTCCTTAAATTCAGCATTTTTCTAGTGTAACGATGTGACATACTCAAACCCTGCTTAGAATAAGTCTGTAGTTTGGAATTAGGACAGAGTTACAACCTTCAACAGATGATGGAGATTAATCAGTTGCCGTGGAAATGGCTCAGGTGTTATCACATGACCTAAATACTTAAATCACATGATACGGTGCTTAGTTCATTCTTGACCTTTGAAATAATAACTGTCACACTCACTGACCCAAGGTAAACAATTTAAAGGCAAAGCTACCAAATACTAACCTAGTGTATGTAAACTTCTGACCCACTGGGAATGTGATGAGAGAAATAAAAGCTGAGATAAATCTTTTTTTCTACTACTGTTCTGACATTTCACATTCTTAAGATAAAGTAGTGACACTAACTCACCTAAGACAGTGATTGTTTATAGGATTAAATATCAGGAGTTGTGAGAAACTGAGTTTAAATGTATTTGGATAAGGTGTATGTAAACTTCTGACTTCAACTCTACCTTTAGAAGTAGATGTTTATGACAGCCTGTCCTGTCTCGCGGCCTTCTAGTTCTCCCAAGTACCTGAAAACTCACAAAAGGTGCATCTTTCAAAGTACTCTTTACTCTGTGCTGTTGACCCTCAAAGCCCTCCTGCCTTCCAGCATATATAGGACAAGCCAGGAGTGGTTATGTAATATAATAAATACATATCCAGTACTATCAGAGGTGTCTCCAGAATAACAACTCATTGCATATAATGCAGGGCTACAAAGATTCATTATGACCTTGACTTACATAAAACCCCAGACTGGGCCCTGAGTCACATCAGGCCCCTGCACTTTAAACACATCAGTGCTGAGATGGAGATAGACCTGGCCTCATGTGCGTTCAGACTGTGAGGAGAAGAAACAGTGGATAAAATAAGAACATTTAGAGACTGCATATTTGGGAGGTCATCCCTAATCAGGATTATATTGCTGTTCATTTGGATGAAGAAGATGGCGGCGCAAAGGAACGCAGCGTCCCCTCTCCAAGTTGTGTGCCTAAAAATGTGTTATAGTGCGTGTTCACGTTTGTCAAGTTTCTGTTCTGGTGCGCGTAGTTCAATGTCTATGCTGTGCCCAAGATACAGTCGCCACTGCCTTGTGGATATAGGATATAAGTCAAAACATTTCAACTTGGACCAGGAAGTCACAGAGGAACTTCGAGGCTTGGGGCTTCTCCGCTGCATTCATGCATCACCTAATACACCAGCTACAACAAGCCCTGAGAGGGGGGTGTCAGAAGCGGTTTGAGCGTAAACAGAAGCGGGGCAAACGAGGAGGCATCCAGGCTAGGCTAGCAGCTAGTCCACCCAGACCCGCGATACCATCCCTCATTATGGCCAGTGTACGCTCACTGGACAACAAAATAGACCACATACAACTCCTGAGCTCTGCGCAGCATGATGCGAGGGACCGCTATGTTTTCATCTTAATGGAGACGTTGCTAAACGACAACATCCTGGACTCCGCTATCCAGCTAGCTGGGCTTACATGCTACCGAGCCGGCCGAGTCTTTGTGGATGGAGGTAAAACACGTGGGGTGGGGAGTTTGTGTTTACATCAGCGATGCTTGGTGTCAGGATGCTGTTCATGATTGTTCATAAACACTGTTCTCTGTTGGTGGAGTTTATTATCATCAAGTGTTGGCCTTTCTATTTATGTAGGGAGTACTCAGTAATTCTGTTGATAGCTGCATACATTTTCTCCCACCGCTAACACCAGCAATAGGAGTGAGCAATAGGAGTGAGGCACTAAATGAACTCTACCAACCCATCAGTGAACCACAGACAGCGCACCCAGACGGATTCCTCATCACACCTGGGGACTTCAATCATGCGGACCTAAAGGTTTTACTGCCCAATCTGCACCAACATGTGGACTTTCCAAGGAGAGGAGACAACACACTGGACCTCGTGTACACCGCATGCAAGGGAGCATACAAAGCCTCTCCCCTCCCCTACCTGGGTCTCTCCGATCACATCACCATCATGCTGAGACCTGCATACAGACCCAGAGTGAAAGCCATCAGACCAACACAAAAGGAGGTACGTGTGTGGCCGGAGGTGGCTTCCTCTGCTCTGAAGGACTGTTTTGACATTACAGACTGGGACATTTTCAAACAAGCATCCACTCACAACAATCACATAGAGGAATACACTGAGGCCGTCACAGCATACATCACAAAGTGCATTGATGATGTCACATACTGCAAAAATATCTGTGTTCGTGCCAACCAGAAGCCATGGATGACAGGTGAGGTTCACAGACTCCTGAGGGCTACGGATGCAGCCTTTAGGGCAGGTGACACCGTAGGCCTAGCAACAGCCAACCTGTCCCGAGGAATCGGAGGCAAAATGCCAATACAGAAAGAAAATATCTGGACACTTCAGCAACACTAGAGATGCATATAGTCTCTGAAGGGGCATCCAAACCCTCACAGGCTACAAACCCCCACCTTGGAGTGATAGTGACATCTCTCTGCTGAACAGCCTCAATGACTTCTTTGGGCGCTTTGAAACACAGAACAACACACCAGCACAGAAACCCCCCCGAGGCGAACAGGCTGTGTGTCTGTCCGTAGCCAGTGTGAAGAAGACCCTCTCCAGGATTCACCCACGCAAGGCAGCTGGACCGGATAGCATACCTGGTCATGTTTTAAAGGATTATACCGAGGAGCCCAAGGATGTCCTCACAGACATCTTTAACATCTCCCTGAGCCAAGCAGTTGTTCCCATGTGTTTCAAGGCTGCCACAATAATTCCAATTCCAAAAAAAGCCCCACCCAACCAGTTACAATGACTATTGGTGCTTCGAGTGGGTGGTCATGTAGAACGTCAGGTCCATCCTTCCTCCCTCTCACGGCCCAATTCAGTTTCAATACAGGTCAAACAGGTCCACAGAGGATGCCATTACTGCTGTTCTCCATCCAGCCCTCAACCACCTAGATTCAAAGAACTCTTACGTGCGAATGCTGTTCCTAGACTTCAGTTCAGCATTCAACATAACAATTCCCCAGCAGCTTACACAAAAACTTGGACACTTGGGACTCAAAACCTCTCTCTGCAACTGGGTGCTGGACTTTCTAACAGGGAGGCCGCAAAGTGTGCGGGTCGGCAGCAACATCTCCAAGACCATCACGCACAGGGGTTCCACAGGGGTGTGTGTTCAGCCCATTTCTCTTCACACTGCTGACCCACAACTGTGTGCCAACCTACAGCACCAACCACATTGTCAAGTTTGCGGATGACATG